GCAGTTTGATTTCACCGCGTACTAGTATTTTGTCGCTCTGATGGCAGTTAATTTCAAGCAAGTTGATGTTTTTTGTGGCTTTGTTGATTTTGCCTTGTACTGGAATTGTCTGTTTCATTGCTATGACAAGACTTGAAGTACAAAAATTTCGCCTCATATGCTCTGAAAATGCATAAAAAGGAGTCTGATTTTTAAAAATTTTCTGGTGGAGGTCCCCCCGACCCCCCACCGGTTCCTTCGCACCTGCGGTCCTCGCGCACGAAGCGGCGGCGCAGCCCCCGCTTCAGTTGCCCCTAACAAAATCTCAAAGTGCCCTTTCCCACCTGCACCCCCCTAGACAAAATCCTGCATCCGCCCCTGTGTATTGTAATATTATTTCCATTTAACAGGACGGCCCTGGCACGGTGGAGAGATGCCCAGTTAGCCGAAGCAAGAGGTGAAAAGGTATTCATCAATTTATAGGGCTTTATTCACTAATAATTTAGCATTTGTGTATCACGTGGAATCTACATTATTAATGTAAAGCACCACTTACTGCAAGAGTACACGAGTGAACTTAAAATGTAATAAATATTGGTGTAAGTGCATTAATTACTTTGATCATGTATATATATATATAAATGTATATATATATATAAATACTTGTGTTATTGTAGGAGAGACGGCCATTCATTGCCTCAGACTGTGACGAACTTCCTAAAGCGGAGAAATGGCGCCGCCAAATCATAGGAGAGATCTCGCGCAAAGTCGCGCAAATTCAGAATGGTATTCATGTTTGTGTATTTCGTAAGTTTGCTCGGAAGCAAGCTAGATGGGGAGGGAAAGAAATAGAAAGAGAGAGAGAGAGAAAGAGAGAGAGAGAGAGAGAGAGCAAGACAGGGAGAGAGAGAGAGAGAGAAGTAAGAGTGAGGAGTTACTCATCTAATGCGCACCCATCCTGCATTTGTAACAGATGTCCATTTGTTTTTCCGACAGCCGGTCTGGGAGAGTTCCGGATTCGTGACCTCAACGACGAAATCAACAAGCTGCTGCGGGAGAAAGGTCACTGGGAGGCGCACATTCGCGAACTAGGGGGCGCTGATTATGCACGTATCGGCCCCAAGATGCTAGACCAGGAGGGCAAGGAGGTTCCTGGGAACCGTGGCTACAAGTAAGTCTCCGTTTCCTCCCGTCTTCCCATTCCTGGCTAGGCGTTCCATCCCAGAGAAGTATTAGCTTGTGTGTAGACCACGTTCAGCATGTTTCATGGCAACGTCAGTTTGATGTGGGTGTGCAGAGTGCACCGTGTGGTATCCCTGCACGTTGTTACACACCCACACACACGCGTACGCACGCATGCACGCACACTTTGATACACTTCAAAGTGACAGCAATCCCTTGAAACTACGCATGCACGCAGACACACACACACACACACACACGCACGCACGCACACACACACACACCCACACACACACACACACAAAATACACACCTTTCCCACAGATATTAGGCCCTACAAAGAATTTCAACTAAGTAGTAAAGAAAAAATCCCTTTTTTTGCAAAAGAAAACAAGAAGGAACATAAATCCAATTTTAATTGGATCACACACGAACGAAATCCACCTTGAGAACAAAATGTTCTTTATACGGTCAATAATAATGTTATGCGCCACTAGATGTCACCGCGTGTATCCTGTGGCAGGTATTTCGGTGCAGCGAAGGAGCTGCCGGGCGTCCGGGAGCTGTTTGAGCAGGAGCCGCCGAAGCAGCCGCGCAAGACGCGCGCAGAGCTCATGAAGAACATCGACGCAGACTACTACGGTTACCGTGACGATGACGACGGCATCCTCATCCCGCTCGAGAGGCAGAGAGAAGAGGAAGGTTCGTGCGGCAGACGGCGTCGTCTCGTTTTCTTCCTCCTATCTTATATATTTGATCGTCGGCGTGGCCATCATCGCTGTCACTGTTTCCACCATTGTCATTTGTCATCATTGTCACTGCCATTGATATTAGACTCTAATAATTAGAGGATATAAATCAGTATAGGATTCGGGGAAAAGTTGCTGGGAATGCAGGATCTATATTCCCATTTCCTATGTTAATAATTCTTGCTATCCAAATTTGAACAATTCGGTAGGGTTAAAGAATTACTAAATTCACGAACACTAGTGCTTACCCACTATCAATACTAGTGCCACGGACACATTAGCTACCAGCAGAGAATTTTGCTGGTTTATGTTATCCGATCAGGAGTTTATGATATAGGTCTATATTATCAGGAGTAGATAATAGGGAGGAGTGTGACATCAATAAACAAGGGAAATTCGTCATTTACTAGCCTTATAATACCTACGATTT